GAGCTGGAGCCTGCGGCCCTGAGCCCCTGGGGCGCCCTCAGGGATGGGTCGCTCACTCCAGGGTCCTCCTCCCACGCGGCGGCAGCAGGACACGCCCTCCGCCCCCGACTCAACAGGTGGGTGGACCTGGGACTCTGCATTCCCCGCGTCCTCCCGCAGCGAGGGCAGGAGCAGGTGGCGCCCGGCCCTGCCCCCCACGCACCTCGTGCTCGGTGATGTTGATCAGCAGCTCCTGCTGCAGGAACTGTTCCAGGATGTACTTGGGCGCCATGTCGACCAGAGACTGGGGAGAAGGCGCAGGGTGGGCCAGGGCCGCGCCTCCCGGCCTGCCTGCCCCAGGGCTTGGCCACCTGGGCCTCGAGACGGCCACCCCCAGAGGCCACCTGCCCCGAAGGGCCGCCCTCCCTGGCCCCTCCTGTCCTCGAAGCCTGGGCCTGGGCCCACGGCTCCCTCTGGGAGCCCCAGGCCATGCTCAGAGCCACCGGCCACCCCCGGTCCCAGCTCGCTGCTGGGCCGCCCAGACAGACGCACCTGCTTGGCCGAGGGCGTCATGCCCTGCTGCACCACGATGAGGGCGCGCGTAATGTTCTCCTCCTGCATGCGCTGGCAGTACACCTTGATGGTCTTGATGCCCACCTTGGGCTCCTCTGCAGGGAGAGGACTCTGATGCTGCCCTGGCGAAATGCGCCTTGGGGGCAGGACCCCCGCAAGCGAAGCTGACTGCCCCAGGCCTGGTAGCTGCGGGCACCGAGCTCCCACCATGCCTCGCAAGAAGGCAGCCGAAGAGGCACCACTTGGCGCCGTGCCACCCAGGGACCGCCCAGACTCCAGGCCCGGCAGCCGCGAGGGGCTCTCACCCACTCGGCCCCAGCCTCAAGGGCGTTAGGTCGGGGGGCACCCAGAGGGGCAGCCCTGAGACAGAGGGCAGCGGCTCAGGGTGGAGCCGCACAGGCCACACAGGAAGGCCTGAGGCCAGGAGGGCCGGGCTGGGGGAGCTTGCCTGGCACACGGGCTCCAGAAGGTGCTCAAGGGAGACACAGAGGAAACGCGGGCACCCCTGGCAGGGTCAGAGGTCAACAGCATCGCCCAGGAAGGGGAGGGGATGGGGCTGGGCCCCAGCAGGCGGAGAAGGGACCCTGCTGGGACCGCCAGGCGCCGGTGCTCACCTGGGAAGAACACGAACATCTGGTCGGTGGGGTCATCATTGTGCGCCACCAGCACGGTGAGGTCGGTGCGCCGCGGCCGCCCCTCACTGGGCTTGTCCCCAAACTGGGCTTTGAACTCCTCCAGCGTCTGGTCCAGCTCGTCCTGGGTCACCAGGTAGCCGCGGTCATGACACAGCTGCAGGGAGAGGGGGACGAGGGAGAGAGAGTGCAGACAGGAGGGGTCGCCCAGGGCAGCGACGGTCACAGGGGCTCTCGGCCTGACCGCTCACAGTGGTGATCACACCACTCTGGGAGCCCAGGTGGGAGGGCCTCATGAGTCCAGGAGTTCGAGACCAGCCCAGCAACGCAGCAAACCCTCATCTCTACAATGGAAAAATCAGCCTCCCCTTTCCTCTCCCATCCTGGTCCCTCCCTGCAAACTAGGCAGCTGCAGCACGCAGACAAGCAGTTGGGTTATCTTCTAGCTACACAGCAAACACCAAAAAGGAAGTGAGAGCACCGCCTTTCACTGCCCAGCACACGTGAGCTTTCCTGATATATAACTATGTCCCTGCACCAACTGGAAAATAAACCCCAGGCAGCCAGGAAAAAAAAAGAGGGAGTCGGGCTCAGTGGCTCAGCCTATCATCCCGTGCTTTGGGAGGCTGAGGTGAGTGGATGGCCTGAGCCTGCAGGTTCGAGACCTGCCTGGGCAACTTGGCGAGACCTCATCTC